TATCTCTTCATATATCATACAAAATCAGATGTATAAAAAATATAATTTTAATTAATAAATAATAATAATTTTTTTAATATTAGATTTTTTTATATTTAATAACTTTTATTTTATAATTTCACAAAATTAAAATTGTAAAACAATAAATTCTTTATAAAAATACAAAGAATTGAAATAAAAAAGCAAAAGGGTGAAGGGAAGGGACCACAGGATTTCAGCAGAACTTCCATACGGCTCTATCCCATGGTCTTATATTGTAAACCGATAAATTCTTTATGAAAATACAAGGAATTGAAATAGAAAAGCGAAAGGGTGAAGGGAAGGGACCACAGGATTTCAGGAGTACTTCCATAAGGCTCTATCCTGTGGTCTTACATGGCGGTGACAGCCATTTATGAAACGAGAAAATGGCAGATGCAACGCAACCTGGCACGTTTACAACAATTGCAATTCTTGATAACTTTGACATTGCCACTTGAAAACAACCTATGATCAGATCTATTCTCTTTGTTAGTGTGTTTGGATTAATTTCCTTTTGAATTATTAGGTCTTGTATTTAAGACTATTCGGTATTACATATTAGGTATGAATGTACAAGGCAATTTTTTTTGCCATATTAATATGCATAAGGATATATAGACTCGTCAAATATATGTGTGTGTTTGTCTGTGTATTCATGCATGATGTTATGAGCAATGACAAAATGTCGTTCTACAAATAGTCTAATCCTTTAGGGGTAATTTCATTCATGAGTTGATGGTATACTTGTAAAGTTGTGTTATTCCTATTACAAAAATTGATTGAAGTGACGCAAAAAATTATGGTGATTAGGAAGGGTTTGGCTGAAAATGAAATACTAATTGTATTTATTTATTTATTTCAAGGTGTATGAATTAATTTATTTATTTATTTTTATTTTATCTGCATTTTATGTATTTTAATCTCATTTTAAACTTATAACTTTTTATTTTTATTAGAAAAATATTGAATTGTATACTTATGTGGTTTGTACAAATGAAATATTATCATTAAAGGTTTTTTTTAATCTCAAAATAAACAATAAAAAATAATTTATTTTTATCTTTTACCTCATCCTACCACATACCATACAACTAAAAATTAAAATTATTTATTCTAACTAAAAAAATTATCATTAAACTATTTATCCCGTTTCGCAAGTTTTTAAAATCTCGATTGAGAAAAACATTGAATCAAATCGTTTTCTTTTTGCAATATATTGGTGGGTTTGACCGCACGAATTAGGAAATTAGTTAGTTTGTCCAACTTAATTTCTTTTAGTGAGAGACTTCAATTTTTCAAAATTAGCAGAACTGAAAGTGAAATATATATCACCCTCCCACAATTTTTCGTATTAAACCACATGCAATTTTGATTTCATCAAGGGGGGAAAAAAAAGAAATAAATAACTGTCTTATAAGGAACGATTTAAAAAGCTGAGCATGAGATTTTCAGATTATAACTATCAAGTTCAAATGTTCATAGGCCTTTTAAGCACAGAAATGTCCCACTTCCAATATATCTAGTCCTTACTTATATAATTCAAAATAGTTCTCTTATTTTCCAAATCTGTAGAGTAAGGTTTAATTAAATCTAACCTCCAATATTTAAGCTCAAGTTTCAGAGGACATTATATAAGTCCTTCCTTCTTTTTCTGTATATTTTAAGACAGGGCAATGATATTGATATCATCCATATAAAACTCCCTATAAAAAATTCATAAAATCACAGTAAAATAAATACTTTCTCCCTTCAACTTTAGTTGGTTTAGTTTTTAATTTAATAAATCAAAGATGTAATAGGTAATTAACAAAATTTCATATTTATGCTTAATTAATTTTAACTTAAATAAACCTATTTATTAGAATATTTGTTGTAATTATTTTCTTAAAATAAAAGCAAACGTTTTAAATAATATCTTTAAATAAAAAATAATTAATTAAATTTAAACAGTCTAAAAAAAATAAAGTTCAACATACAAAAGGATCTCTAATACGGTGGACAATTTCATATTCACGGGCCGTTGGCCTAGCAGTGAACCCAACACACCTCAATCAATGGGCTGAAGCAAAGGTACAACTAGCTCGTTACTCTCTATTCCAGTGGTCAAGAAACCACAAGTGATGAGCTTCTCGGGCCGTGTAGTAGAACGGTTGTTCCATTTTTTGCTTGGGTTGGTTAGTCTCACACACCTCAATACAACATTCCAACAATTGGCCCAAATGTGCGTCCATGTTTTCTAAGCCCTGCTCGGTGCTCACCCAGTCAGCCTTATTGACCATTTTGGCAAAAACCCAATTGGCCAATACAATAACAGGTTGCGTGGCCGAGTTATGGAATTAAAGCTCCGAGACACTAATTCTTTTATATATATATATATATATTAGTTGTACAATGTGAAACAACTCTCTTAATTTTTATCTTACTCTACTCACATGTTATGTAATTCAAAATTAAGATTTCTTACTCTTAACGAAAGAAGATTACCACTAAATTATTTAGATTGTTGACACTGAAACACCAATTCTTGAAACTCCTTTTCCCTCCCTTTTACTTTTTGACCAATTACAGTGTCAAATTGCATCTCTTTTAAAAGCAATGGACCCCTCTTTTCCCCTTTTTCAATTAAGTTGAAAAAAAAATTATAAATAAAAAATTAATAAGGAATAAATATTGTCTTATAAGTCATGTTTTAAGTTTTTGAACCTATTCATTTTGTTTTATTTTAGTTGTCTTACTTTTTGATATTATACATGCCTAAACAATCTAGAAATTGGTTAAAACTTCATGCTTAGATGTTAAAACAACACATTTACCCATGGTAAAAGTCTTATCATCTTTGCAAATAAATTAGAGCAATAGAGATAAGAGTTAGAATAATATCATTTAATACATCATACAAATAGAAAGTGAGACGAGAGCTAAATTATAACGGAATGCATATTAAATTTAAAAAAGGCATGTAAGCTAGTCTAGAAATCTCTTAACCATGAAAACCAAAATAATAATAAGAACATGGTAAAGTAGGGCTGTTTAGATCTGCACTCCTTGTCAAACTTACAAGATGAGTGATCATTCCTATCGCAGCACGCGAGCACCAAGCAAAGCCAGAGTAGTCGATGTCAGTGGCAAGGTTCAAACACAAACATGCACGTCTCAAGCCCGTACTAACAACAATATGGTCATTGCCATTGATTAGTAGTATGACCAATTGGTGGTGCAAGGTTGAAACCATGGAGTAGTGGGGACATGGGGCCATGACACCCTCAAATTTGCCTAACCATAATAATTGTCCTTTTAATTACTACTTCGTAATGTCTTTCTCTCTCTCTCTGACCTAAATTGGTCCCAAAAAGATTTGGATAGAAAATTTATTTGCCTAGCCCATATGTTACCAAATCCCATCCCCTAGTCCATCACTTCACATTTTCTTCATTTTATAACGGATATAATTAAAGATAAAATATGAGAAATAGTAACGTAATTATGTTATAATTTGAAGTTTAATCATTATTGAAATATATTTACTAAATAGTTCATAAGACCTTATGCGCATCACTTCACATTATTGAGTGTATTCCGCCCTTTGTTGTTGATTATAATTCGCCACAAATCTCAAAAAATGATTTAAAACTTATAAAGATAATAAAGTAGATAAAGATTCAACAACTGATTTTAAAGTTGTAACATGTTCCATATCCAATACCTTTTATACTGTGAGAAAAAAAAGAAAAAAAATCAAAGACCCCACAAAGGGAAACCAGCAACAACGGTCATCATCTTCTTTTCATTTTTCTTTTCTTTATTACACTTTTATCGGACACACACCTATGTCTGCCATGCCAT